GATAATTTGATGTGCATATGTCACACATGTTTCATGTTGCTTCTCATAGAAATGTTCTTCTATTGGCGAGAATGTGAGCCATGATAAACACTCCTCTTGTGATGGTAATTCCAACTCTTCTGACACATGAACTTTTGATGAACGCCACATGATTTGCTTGAAAAATCTGTGCACAAATTCCATAGCCACAAAATCTCTCCGCTGTAGCATTAATTATGAGAAGAATTAAAACTAAATCATATTGGAACAATAAACCATTAAGCAGTAGCAGTTAGCAATGCGATACTGGTCTCTAATTTTTAAAGGGAGCTACAGATCTATAACAGAAGCCCGATATTAATTTGCATCAGTGAAAAATCTTCCTTCATGCCCCTCTCTGCTTATATGAACACATGTAGTCATATGTGCATGCAGATAAACTTATGTGAATGTTTATGCACAACTACAAATGGGAATGGGAGGAATGGGAGGAATGGGAGGAGTAAAGAGTGTGTGTATCATGTATATGAAAGAAGGAATGGGAGGAGTAAAGAGTGTGTGTATCATGTATATGAAAGAAGTATTTTATTTTTGAAATACCATTTATTATGGTTGAATAATCTTCAACCCTTCAAATTCCCCCCCTCAAGATGCATGATAAGAATGGGGATCATGACAATTGGTGAAGGTCATCCATTTGACTGGACCCACAATACTTTTTTCAGGATCTTGTGTAGAAAATTTCCATACCAACTGCTCATGTATTTTTCTTTGTTCTCATACCACACAAACCCCAACCGACATAGGAACACTTGAAAGAGAAATAATTCACTAACCTCATATGGATCTCTGATAACTTCAACCCACCATCTATAGGTATCAAAAGGACTTGCTCTCAAAAAACATAGCAGTCCATATATGTCATCAAGCTTTCGCTGAATAGGAGTCCCCGTGATGCACCACCGATGTTGAGCACAAAGTCGCATTGCCATCTCTGTTACAGAAGCTGTGTTGCACTCAACCATTTGGGCTTCATCTAGACATACCCTCCACCAGTGGGTTCTTGTAAGCAAGGTTGGCATAACAGGATACCTAAATACATGTGAAAAAAACCCATTATCTATCTACAGATCTTCAATGGTATATCATACAATGGATTTGACACATTAATTAATACACCATAATAAAAGATAGTTCTCTTTTAAGATAAATTTGTACTACTTACAGTTCTCAGAGAGAAGTGGTGGCACTCAAGTCTAATATAGTAATGCAATGAGAAACTGATAATGCCTTGGGCTTGGATTCATATAATTGTGATTTATTCATAAACTCCTTAATTTAAACGTGAAACATTTATTCGCTAACAGCTTCCATATTAAAGGACACTGACAATTACGCTCTCTCGTCGCATATTTAGTACTGGGCATATAAGTACATATGCTTTGCCTCCAAGTATAGAAGTGCCATGTACAAGGAAGTAACTTCTATGATAACAATTGATATAGTTTAAAACAAACATAAGAAAATATATATTCCGGTGCAGAAACTACCATGACATGCAGAGGACTTCAAATGACCTGTATTTGGGCATGCATAATACATTAAAGTTCTTCAAGCAACAATATCTGCTACCACACAATGAAGTAAATATACCTCAATAACATCCAAAAGTTTCCTTTACGGTAGTTTATCTTTGTAAAACTAAACGCATTAGTTATCCAAGTGGGGGACGATCAGATAGGATCAAAATTTTCAGTAATTTATGAAATATTTAAATTATGATATATGTGAGGAATAAATTTAAAAATGCCTATAATTTGGGGTTACATATGTAAAACAAATTACCTTTTGTGTCATTTATCTTTTATAACTTAGGATGTCAATTCAGCTCTGAGATGTCCTATCTACGAATTTGCACGTGATGTCCTATCTACGAATTTGCACGTGCATATATATGTGTCTGTTTATTTTAGGATTTCATATATGTTAGATTTTATGCACATCCACCTAATGTCTAGTGGCTATACCTCTACCTGATAGTCAAATGTAAGAGGACAAGAAATAACTGAACTCTAAAAGAGCCACAACCTCAAGTGAAAACAATATGCTTACAGATAAGGATCAAAAAGGGAATGAAAATAGCACATAACATAAAATAATGAAGCAAATGAAAGTACATAATACATTATGTGTGCATTTACAGAATCTTCAACCAATTAATATTTTTCAGAATATCTCATTTAAACATAACTTTGTAACTTCAATGCTGGGATTTCTCCATGAGTAAGTATCATACATAAATTTAAATAGAATATAAAGCTATTTGATGTTGGATTCATGCTAGATGATGGTATAATTTGCTTATGATGAAAGCAATAAAGTTGTACACCTGTTAAGTTTTGCTATTAGGTGACCTGGTTCCCTATAATCACATGATGCCTTACCATAAATTGTTTACAAGTATCTCAGAAATTTTTGCTACAAATATCTGGTAATTCATGCTATCAAAACTAGATATTATATACATTTCACAGAAAGTGTACTTTCAACCTTTAGCTGATGAAAGTACAAAAAAAGTTACCATAACATGGAGGATAACATGAATATGCTACCAATGATGCTGAAGCAACAAAAGGTAAGAGAAAACTAGAATATACATCATCAAATGGAGGAAAAAGATCAAGGGGTCTTACTTCTTCTGGAAACGCATAAAGCGACGGTCACCTTCATGCCTATCAGAATCATGTGATAAGTCTTCTTTGAGTACATCGTATGTAGTTAAGACGATATCAGCAGTAGCAAGTTCTTTCGCTTCATTTTGCAAAGTGATTGACGAAGTTAAATTCCTCGCACCTTCATAAATGCAAATTTTTAGGGAACCGGGCCTCGTATGACTAATAAAAAATAGAAGGATCAGCTCAAATAGGAAACCAATAATCAACATCAAAAGATAAAGAGAAATGCCTACTCTTTCTTTCTTTTTATGCATAAGAAAGTTAATTTTTAGATAAGCTTGGCAGAATGACACAAAATGCATCTATGTAGCTATGAGAAAAGCGAAGCAGATATGAAACCAAAAGAAGAGACATTAATGATTTGCAGCTGAAATACAAATTCACTTGTGCATTACTCGTGCAGAACCAAACTAGAAGAAGCCATCCATGTAAATTTGGTTTGATCTGCCATGATCAGACACAGTCTAGAAATATTTGCATGCATAATCCAGCTTGGCAATCTAGCATATGCCTAAGGCATTATTCCAGCAGTTTGTCAATCAGAACATCAAACAAATAGCACAGAAGTAACGAAAAAGATAACCAATCTTTTCTTACTGAAGGTCAACATTCAATATTAACAAAATTCCATTTCAGATTTTTAAAAAAATGTTATTTAAGCTGAACATTTCAGAGGAACCCTATTAAACTCTAGTTTCACATCCCCTACCCATTGGCTACTGACTCCATACTCAACAATAAATTTTCACATCAGTTCACCCTCGTAACTGTAATACCAATCACCCTTCTTGTTAGATTCTGGATATTGAAGCCTAAAGCATAGTGGAGAAGCACGAACACCAAGTGGCTAGCTTAAGAGATGCAGCTACCAGACATTGAGACAACATTAAAATGTCCAACAGAAGAAGCACCAACTTAGATATTGCTCTGCTTTGCCTGGAGATTTATTAACATCAGCAGTATAGCACTTCCTACAGCCTCAGAAAGTATAAGGTCAGTTTACCCCAAAAGGATAGACCATAGAATGGAGTTGCAAAGGAAAAAAGTATAAGTTGTAAAATATTTAAATACAGATCTAGCTTTCACCAGCGAAACAGTTCACACAATGCAGTACCTACTTAGAATTAGAAGAATGCGTGAACTTGGCTCAAGATGAATGACCACCAATACTTTTAAATTGGACCAGCATGCCTGTTCGACCAACATGTTATTTTTGAGAAGAAGGCTTCATGATATGTAGGATGCTTTCGCAAAAATTACTGTGTCAGAAACATTTGGACATGATACACGCTCATTTGTATCTGATGCTCAAAAATATGTGAACCGTTATTCCCTTTAAAGATATGTAAAAGACTAAGTACATGTTCCGCTTTTGAAAAACAATATTTTTTATAGAATACTTAAATAAGATTAGGTCCCTCATAAATGAATAGAAACTTAATACACCCACACCCTCTCACTCATAACATATATAGATATGTATATGTATATATGTGAAATTATACAGATACAATTGGCAAACATATATAGCATCCTTGTGGCTGAACTTTAAACATAATTGTCATGAGCGACACCATGTATCCATGTTGAAGCATGCACTCGTCATTGACGACAAGTCAGAGTGATAAATTATTTTTTCACTAACGTAGGTGACATGTCAAGTTTTCTAAAATAAGTCACTAAAACACATCCCAAGGAACTTCAAGTAAAAGACAGATCCAATATGGTTAATAAATGCATTGTCGATATGCTAGTAAATGTATAAGAAGATCATGACAAGAAGGATCATACCGAGTTATTTCTGAATGCCATTGTGCCAATATAGTTGCTGGACAAACTATAAGTGTTGCACCAGTTACAGTCTTAGGTTTAACAGCTTCCATCAGTTCAGAACACAGAGAACAAATAAAACTTTCATCTGATTCAATTATAATGTTAGAATCTTCCTTTTTTGTATTATTTATGGATTTGGAGCCTTTTCTTTTCTGACCTTTATGAGAAACTGAGGCTTTCTTCTTAGGTGAGTAACCTACACAATCTGCATGCTGCCATGCATCACACGTATCACATTGTACCCACAACCCTGTGTAT